AGGAAGCCAATTGCCCATAGTCTTATAGCCAAGAGTGCTTTGCTGGGTCCCAAAGTCATTGCTGACTGCTAATCTCTACCTTGGACCTTAGACAGCGGTTCAGTCTTTTAAACCTAGGCAGGGAATGGAGCTGTGGGATGACCTTGCCTAAGGCCTTGTGGACCTAGCTGGTGGCTGCTGGTGAGTGGTGTAAGGGAGTGCATGGCCTTCTCCCCATGGACCCCAGGCTTATCCCAAAGGGCAGGTTTAGGCCTGATGGCAGCTCAACCAACTGTGTCGACACCCTGGCTGCTTTCTGCTTGCTGGTCCTGGTTTGAATTGCTCCATTCCTCCTGATACTCAGGGCCCCGCTGGGGGCTCCCCCCCCCCCCGCCTCTGGGCGGCCCATCCTAGTGGATGTGAATTTCCATGTATGGGCTCAACACGGCTCGTCCCAGACCTCTGGTTGACTTTGCACACGAATGTCTTTTTTTATTCCCTCTCCTCTAGCTTCCTGGAAGATGGCCCGTTTGATTTTTACAGGAGCTGTCATGGTAATTAACTTTCATTGAGTTTTGCGTGGAGCCTGACTCAGGCTTCATCTGAGAAGGAATAGTGAAGCGATGACCTGTTTCTGCTTCTTGCTCGTTGAATGACCAACTTACTGGAGGGGATTTTGCTCTTCTGAGCCTCAGTTTCCTCATCTGTGAAATAAGCATGAGATGACACTAACCTAATCCTCGCTAGGAGAATAAAGGGGATGCCACACACCCAGACTGGCACTATGTGGGGCTTATTGTGAGTGAATACTCACCCCACGAGGGCAGAGCCCGGGGAGCCTTGTCCTCGATCATGTCCCCAATGTCTAGAACACTTCTCAGCTTCTAATGGGGCTCAGTAAATGTGCATTGAATGTAGAGTCATTGCTGTCACCTGTCTCTGGGGGCTTCCACTCAGAGCTTCATAACCCCAGGAGGGAATCCTAAGAGAAAAGGCAGATGGAACAGTTCACAGGCAGAGAGATGCCTGTGAGGAAGGATGCGTTTAATTAAATCCCTCGTTAAATGTTAAGGAGCTGGGTTAAATTCCTTCCACGTGCTGAGCACATTCCTGCCTGGGAGGAGTGCACATGTGTGGTGGGGGAGGGCAGAGGCTTGGTGCCTCCAGTGTGCCAGAGGCTGTGCAAGGTGGTTTATACACCTTTACTTGCTGAATCTTCTCAAACATTCCTCATCATTAGGGTATCACCACCATTTGCAAATAGGGAAATTGAGGTTCAAGACAGGATGTGACTTGTCCCAGGTCAAGCACAGAGCAGGGGAGCCAGGAAGCCCGTAAAAGGCCCCGGAGAATGTGTCTTTCTGTTTCTGCCCGCTGGCCTCTGCTCCCTTTATTTGGCAATAGGACTTCCATTTTCCTTTGGGGAAATACCCCTCCTGCTCAGTGACCAAGGCAGAGTGGCATGACAGGTGGTCTGCTGGGGCAGTTGAACTGGCACAGTGGGGTCTGGGCACTGCTGACCGTTTTGTCCTTGTTGTGAGGGCCTCCTGAGACTGGAGCCAACACAAACAACAGAGCCACACACAGACAGGCCAGTTCCAGATGAATTATGGAACCCCTGAGGCCAGGTCTGCCCTTGGGCTTTTTAGTCTCGGCAGCTGTGAAGGCCATGTGGCCTAAAGCTAGGCTGAGCTGGGTTTCTGCCCCTGCAATCAACACAATCTCGTGTATCTAGATTGGGAAACAAGATCAGCTCTGTGGAATGACTCACCAGAAGGAGGGCATGACCGCATGTAGTGGATTGGAGAAAGGGCTTTCTAGATGGGAAAGGATTTGAACTGTCCTTCAAAGGGATGGGGGAGTTTAACCAACCCAGATGGGGTTGGCTTTGGTTCATGCGCTCTCTCTCATTGGGGCAAAACCCAGTTATCACGGATAGTTGGGTAAGGGTCTTCTCCTTCTCTACCTGGTTAGCCTATCAACATAACACTTAATGAGTTGACCCAGAGCTTTGGAAGAAAAAGTCACGTCTTTCTTCTTGGGCAGAGCTTTCTGTCCCAAAGAAGGGACCTGAAGGAATTCAAATGAGAGAACTGGGAGAGGAGTGGAGTGTGATGTAGTGTCTGCAAAAACATAGGATCACACAGATTTGGGATCTAGTTCTATGTCCACCATTTCTCATAGCTGGAAGAACTTGAGCAACTTCTCAACCTCTTAACTTTCCTGAACCTCTATTTCCATGTCTGTGGAATGGATATAAAGTAGTACCCAGAGGGTTCTTGTGGGGATAGACCAAGTATTGGTGATTTAACAAATTGGAGATATGGCATGAATGTTGCATGGTCTTCAGCCTTGAAGGCCTCCTTACCTGGAGAGGCAGGGAACGTAAGTGGCATAGAGTAGGGCCTGGCACATATTGAGTCTCCTTCTGTAGCCTTTCTCCAGAATTGGCAGAGGAATTAACTCAGGTAGTAGGAATTGAACTAAGCCAAGGGAACAAACATCTACTGAGTGCCTCCCTGAGCCACAACCCAATCCTAACCCATTATCCAAAGGACAGAATATGAACGATTGATTATTTGCTTTGTAGTCAGGGTTGAATCACAGCTGCCCCATTCTCTGGCCCTGAAGCTGTGGGCAACTTATTTAACTTCTCTGAGACTCCAGTTTCCAATCCATAAAATAGGGCTTATACTTGCCTCGTGGTGTTATAAGAATGAAATGAAATGGAGTCTTACTTGATAAATGTAACAGTAAGTAGTTGACAAAAGCCAACTACTTATTATTTTTATTATTTAATCTTGAGCACCATTCTTTGGGATAGATCATGGCCTTTTAATTGATGAGGAAACTAAGGCTGAGAGAAGATTCATGGCCCATAGGAAGGGTCTGTCTAGTTTCCATATCCTCTGCCAAAGGAAGTGTGCAGAGCCTGCCTTCCCGTCCCAGTGCTCCTGCTAGTGTGGGTGGGGACGGGAGGGGTTGGAGGTGGCCTGCAGACAGGGGCATCTGCTGTCACTAGGACTGCATCAAACTACTGGCTTCCCTGGCCTCCACTTGCCTGGCACTGCCCAGCTGGCTGAGATGGGGCTGGGGGGCAACTTGCCTCCTGGTGACTGGGTTCCAGAGATCCCAGCTGGGAGATCTGATGTGTCTGAGGAGACACCTACCCCTGACCATTCCTCTCCAGTGTCCCCAGCCAAGGGCAGGGAGAGTGAGTAATAGCTCAGAACACTCTGGCCTGTTCCAGAGCTCAGGCCTGCGGGGGAGACTCTCTCCCTGGAGCCGGGGAAATGCCAGGGCAGCGTTCTCCGCCAGCAGCTCTCTCCTCTGCCCCTCCAGCCCTCCATCATTCTTCAGCCACTCCTTCCCTGTCACTCGGAGGCTGGAACAGTGGTGCTCAGAGTGTGGTCCCTGCACTAGTGGCATCAGTATTATTTACATGCTCTTCAGAAATGCAAAATCGCACCACCCATTCCAGCCCCACTGTATTAATTTGTTAGGGCTGCCATAACAAAGTGCCACAGTCTGGGCATCTAAATGACAGAGATCTTTTCCCCCTTGGTTCTGAAGGCCGGAAGCCTGAGATCAAACTGCCAGCAGGGTTGGCTTCTTCTGTGGCTTGTAGGTGGCTGCTTCCCTGCTGTGCGGCACGTGGTCATCCACTGTGCGTGCATGTGTCTTGAGTCTCACTGTCTTCGTCCTAATCTCCTTTTATAAGGACACCAGTCACATTGGATTAAGTCCTACCCTAGAGACTTCATTCTACCTTAATCATCTCTTTAAAGGCCCTGTCTCCAAATACGGTTACATTCTGAGGGTAGGGACACAATTCAGTCCATAACTTCTACTGAATTGGAAACCCTGGGGTGGGCCCCAGAAGCCTATGTTATAAGGAATCTCGGGCGATTCTGATGCCTGCTAATGTGCAAAAAACACCAGACTAGAATTTAGAGTGCCTGCAAGGTACCAAGCCCTGTTCTAGTCACTTAGTCCATCAACAAATGGTATTTGAGTGACAGGCACTGGATCACACATAAAACAGCCCCCTGGCTTGTCCTCATGGACATCGCACGCAATATGGAAAGGGGGATAGGAGCAACAATTGATTTAACATATTCCACGAAACCAAGGTTTTTCAACTTTTTTTAGCTCACGGCACACTTGAACCTATAGTTAAACTTCCGTGGTACAATTAAATTGTTTTGATAAAAAAAAAAAAAAGTAAAACAAAGGAAGATATAATTACTTCAAACTTTTGAAAATAATTTATTTAATGATCTTTAAAATTTTTGTGGCACACCTGAGATCCTCTTCTGGCACATCCATGTGTTGCGGCATACTAGTTGAAAGTCATTGCACTAGGCTTGGCGCCTGTGGCTCAAGCGGCTAGGGTGCCAGCCACATGCACCTAAGGTGGCGGGTTCAAATCCAGCCCAGGCCTGCCAAACAACAATGATGGCTGCAACCAAAAAAAATTAAAAAATAGCCAAGTGTTGTGGCGGGCGCCAGTGGTCCCAGCTACTTGGGAGGTGGAGGCAAGAGACTTGCTTGAGCCCAGGAGTTGGAAGTTGCTGTGAGCTGTGATGCTATAGCACTCTACCCAGGGGGGACAGCTTGAGGCTCTGTCTCAAAAAAAAAAAAAAAAAAGAAAGAAAGAAAGGTATTGCACAAAATGATTTGACAGAGGCCAGTGCCCCAGAGCATTAAAAGTTCCTTGGAAGAAATGAGATTGCTGGACCCAAAGGAAGAACGAATGGTCCGGGCTGGGAGGCAGTGGCTTCTGATGAGAGCCCCAAACCCAGGGGGAGGACAGATCAGGAACCTTGAATGTGACTGCAGGCACCCTGGGGACCATGTAAAGTAATAATTCCTTGGAGTGCAGGAAGAAATCATTAAAATTCCTTTTTGTTTTTTAACTTGTTTTTTATTCATTTCAGTTATCTGAGTTTACTTTAAAGGTATGCAATGTGTTTGCACAGAAGTATAGGTCCATGTTTTTAGGTTAAAAAGGATACTAGATCCTTTTGTAATTCATAAGCATGATGATTGGGTTTTCATGAGCCCGTATGAGATGTGCCTCCCACAAATCTTGTTACAACATAGGCACATTACCCATCTGACAGGAAAAAGAAAAGGAAAAATGAAAAAGGAAAAGAAATAGAAAATCAATAAAAAGTATACCAGTATTGAGGTTGTACCCCTCAAAATTCTACGGGTGAGATGCCTGTCAACAAAGTTTGAAGAGCTCTGGCATATACATGCAAAAGCTTGTGTGGCTGACGTTCAGGAAGGAGTGGGGTAGTACATTGACATATGTCTAGCAGAGTATCTTGAGGGGCAGAGGGGAGCCACTGAAGGTGTTTGAGCAGGAGAGTGGCTCAATCAGATCTGCGTTTTAAAAACAATAGTCTGGCTTCTGCAGAGAGAATAATGTGAAGGAGGCAAGGGCAACTCCAATTTACTTAGTTAAAACCTCTGTGCTTTGGGGGTCTGCAGGCTGAAAGAGGGCAAGTAAGAGCCTCTTACAGCCTGTTTCAAGTTCCATCTCCACTTACCATAGCTGTGTGACCATGTTTACAGTGTCTGATCTCTCTGTGCCTCATTTTCTGACCCCCCAAATGAGGGTCATTATAACCCACACCGGACTGCACCTACAATGCAAATAAAGGACTGAAAACAGAGCCCTGCAGAGGAAAAGCACTGAATGTGTGTTTGCTGCTTTTCTTTTATTGTCCTTGCTTCTACCCTTTGCCTGGGCTCTCCTCAGGCTGGGAGGCTCATCTGCTCCACCTTGTGTTTCCAGCAGCCCAGGGGTGTGCCCTGGGGCAGGTCCCTTCTCTGTTTGGACCCCTAGTTTCTCCATGCTAAATGAGAACCACAGTTCAGATCGGTGGATCTCACACTGGGTTCCTGGGGACCCTGGGGTTCTGTGGAGATGCCCTGGGGGAGGGGGAGGGAACTGAACATCTTTTATTTTCATTTATCTCATATACTTGGTTTATTTATAAGATTTCATTTGAACAAAAGAATCTGTTGCTTTAAAAAACGTTTTAAAAGCTTAAATACAAATGGATTAGATGTTCTAAAGGCCTTCCAGACCCAGAGTTGATGAATCTTGTTGCAAAATCATAATGGGTTAGCAGCTTAAGTGATCCATTATAAATGTCTCCTTGGCACAGATTTCGAGTTTCTCATGTATAATCCCTACCCCCCATTAGGCCCGGTAATGCCCATGCACCAGGATATATGAGCACCTCTCGCCCCGGCTGCCAGTCACCCCCTCAAGATTTATGAGTGGCTCCTGCTTTCCCACATACAAACTCTGCCCTCGGTTCCTTCCATCTTTCCTAATAAGTCATCCTCCTCACCCTGGGTAATCTCTCTCACTTTTCCCTGGACTGCCTCCAGCTGGCCTCTGTTTATATAGCAGGCAGATAGATGCCCGTGGGGAGAATCCAGGGCCTCACTGTAAAAGGGGCCTCAGTTCAACAGGAATATTTGAGCCAAGATTAGCACTATGGGTCTCAAAGTTTGTTAAACATCAGAATCCCCTGGAACTTGTGTTAAAAATGCAATTTCCTAGGCCTCAGTTCTTCTGATTCAGGGCAGGGGCTGCTAGGGGGTCCCAGAATCTGAACGTTTAAAGAGCCCCATATGGGCTTCTGGAGCAGTGTTGTAGAGACAATGCCTGGACTTAGATCCAGACATCTAGTTGGAGACCCCTCCCCCTTTTTACTCATATCCTTCCTTCATTCAGCCAGCCAGCCAGCAAACTCCTACTGAGCACACACCTGTGCCAGGCAAATCGTGCTGAGAATGAAAAGATAAGCCAGCCCTCGACTTTCTCCTTGCCAAGTGCATGGTACAATTTTGGAGCTTACAAATTTATGTCTAATAGGACTAGGTGTTAGAGTCAGCAGGCTAAAGAGGAGATGACCCAGACTTTGGAATGAAACAGGCTGCTAAATAACTCAGTAATCCTAGGTAAAGACCTTAACCTTTCTCTACTGTGCTTTCTGTGACTGGAAAATAGTAATAATGATAGTATGTGCTGCTTGGGTTACTGGGAAGATTAAGCAGAATCATGTATGTAAATCTCTTAGCTGAGGCCTGGCACACGGCGGTTCTCAATAAACAGTAGTGATTTTATTTTAGGTGGAATTTGTTCTTGACATTTAATTTCCTCTTTAATCATTTGAGTCATTTCAGTACAAGAAAATCATATTCCTATATTTGCCTTTTTGTGTTTCTTTTAGGATTAAGGGTCCCTTTCCCCTAGGAAGACCGTTTCTCTGAACAAGTCCATGGCCATATCCTGTCTTGGGAGAATAGCTAAGAATTCAGGCTCTGGTGCCAGGTGGATTTGAATCCTGGTTGCCGCTGTTTGCCCATGGGAAGGCCAATGCACCTCTTTCAGCCTGCAGATAATGTCTAGGCCTCTATTGCTGAGGTGTCAAATGCAATTAGATATACACAGCTTATCCAGGCACACCTAAGCAGTCGGGAACTTGGAGCTATGTATCATTAGTCATTCACTGAATAGGGATTTGCTGAGTACCCACAATGTGCCCCAGGTCTGACCACACACTAGAGACATGGCAGTTTATTCAAAACAGGACTTGTAATACATACATACCCACACACATACACAGCTATGGCCAGTGGTTTAAGTACTATGAAGAAAACAAAGCAGGGGAAGGGGTGCAGTGTGACGGGAGGGAGTGAGATCTAACTAGGATGCCAGGGATGCCTCATTGAAAATGTTCTGTCTGTAGCTGGGCATTGTGGTGGGCGCCTGTGGTCTCAGCTACTCGAGAGGCTGAGGCAAGAGGATTGCTTGAGATCCAAGAGTTTGAAGTTGCTGTGAGCTATGACGCCCAGCACTCTACCAAGGGGGACAAAGTGAGACTCTGTCTCCAAAAATGAAAAAAAAAAAAAAAAGAAAGAAAGAAAGAAAAATGTGCAGTCTGAGTGGACCTTTGCAGGAGAACAGAGACCAAGCCTCCCTGCTCTGGTCTCCTGGGCCGAAAGAGACCTGGATGTGGCTCCCTGCTGGCAGGAGGGTGTCTTCTTCCCAGCTCTCAGCCTCCTTCCTGCTAGTTGTGCTCCCTTTGGGAACCCCAGGAGACTGAGAATGTTCTCAGTCGCCACTGCTGCCTGTGGCCAGGGCTGTCTTCCCAGGAAAGGAGCCCAGCCTTCCCCCCAGTACATGGGTCCTGCTCACCAAGGGGCTCTGGACAACCTTCCCTGATAACATGCAAGGTGAAGACAGCCCGGGAGTTAGTAAAGGCAGGAGCTCCTGTCTCCACTCAGGTTGCATCTTAGCTTCATCTCCGACTTCTCTCTCTTGACCTCTCCTCCAGCCATGTAGATAAATGGCCTCACTCTGTTCAGCGGTTGGCTCAGGACTCCATAAATCAGCTGGCTGCCTATGCAAGCAGGCTCGCACTCCCCGCACTGGGGGGAACCTTCCTGTGATAAACCACCAGTATTTATCTCAGCCTGTCCCGCCGTGTCCTGGGAATAGGAATGATTTGGGGCTGGGGTGTGTTTTCAGAACTATGCTTTGCTTTTTTTCTTCCCCCAGAGTTTGAGAGGCCTAAGCCCAGCCAACAGGGATGAGCCGACACACAGAAATGCCATGGCCGAAATCACAAAACCTCCAGGGACTGCTGGGCCTCACCACCCTCACCCCTGAGGGGAGCCCCTCTTCTTCCAGGTGAGGGTGCCTGCCATGTGGTGTCAGGGGCCACACAGCCATGTGGACCGGGACGCAGCCCCATCTTGCCCCAGAAGAGCTTGCAGGCCAGTGGGGAGGGCTGATAATATTAACCCAGTGAAAAGTTACTAAAGTGATGACAAGGAGAAATCCTGTTTCCTTGACGGCTCACTGGGAGCCAGGAGCTGTTCTCAAAGCCCAGCTGGTATTAACACATCCAACCCTCAGAGCAGCCCGGCGTGGCGGTGTGTTCCCTTCTACAACACTGGGCTGACTCCAGGAAGCCCTGAGAAAGCTGAGAGAGCCAAGGGGGTGTGTGATCCTGTTGCCTGGGTTCAAATGTCCGGCAGCTTCCCAGAGAACACACTGGATTGAGCCTGTTGGGTGGAGAAACAGGTGGAAAGTCATTCTGGGCAGCAGGACCAGTGTGGGCCCAGAAAGGCATGAGGATCCTCCTGAATTCTCTCAGTCACCTCAGGTCCTATTATTATGCCCATTTCCTGAGATCAGTGAAGTTGAGCAAGTTGGCTGAGGACACACAGGAGACACTGCTCTGGGTATCCATACCTGGTTGCTAAACACTAGGTCCATAGTCTCCAGATAATGCTGGGCATAGCTACACTTCACACAGGGCCTCTGTGAGGCTAATTCTCATCTTGGATATCCAGAAAGGTGGTCCCCCATGTGCAAGGCCCTGAAGGCTATGCCTAGCAGCTTGGACTGGAGATCAGGTAAGCAGCCGTGGAGGCTGCGGCCTCCCTCCTCCATAGATAGTTTCATACCCTGACACACAGACTCCATACTGGGGACCTCTCAGATGTGCCTCCCAGGCCCTGAGATGCCCTCCTCCAGCACTGTCCGCCCTGTGGTCAGAAATCCTCCCACCCAACCTTTCCTTCTTCCTCAGAGCCTTCCTCGGAAGGGACATTTGTGTTAGGAGGATGCTGGGGGCCCTACCCAGCCCAGGCAGTTTTCCATGATGTGACTGTGGCGCAGACCCAAGGAGGTATGGGGGGGGGGTTCAGAGGCTGCTGGAGCAAATTGGGCTGGGAGTGAGAGCATTTCTGTAATGGAAGACTATACCCTCAGAGGGTGGGAGGAGGGATCAGGCTGTTCAAGATTCCTGCTACTTGGTCCAATCATGATTGTAAGCCTCATTTTCCTATAACAGTGGTCATTCCTCGAGGCATGCCAGGAAGAGAGAGACAAGGAGGTGGAATATGGAAAGGGCCTAGCCCTGTACCTGGCACATGAGGAGGAGCCACTTGATGGGAGGACCTGGTGTCGGTGTGAGCTACCACGATAATAACCATCTCCCCCAATGCCTTCTGCAGAGTGAGTGGCCAACAGGGACATGGAGAGATGGCCCTGTGTTCAGCCCCATGGGGCTGTTTTCCTCCTGC